ATAGGCTTTCTGCGGGAGAGAGAAAAGCAAACCTGCTGTAAGCAGACACCCAGTGGGTAATATTAGCCATAAAAACCCCAAACTCCACAGTTTTTGCATTTCCACTGGGACAGACCTTTGTCTAAAACACATAAGGATTCCTGACCCTGAAAACGGAACTGGTTACAGTGGACGCAGGAGGCAGTGGCATCTCCTTCCTCCACAGCACCCAATTCCAGCCTTTGGTTGGCCAAACCCTGTGCAAACATCCAGCGAAGACAATGTGTACGTCGCTCTACAGGAGCAAGCCCAGGTATAGGAAACAGCACAACTGGGGGGCACCGAGGCCAGTGAAAGCTAAATGTGTAGACACTCATGTACCTCTGTGTTGTACTGGGTTATGAGCTGCAGACACCCCAAGATTAGTCACGACTTACTATCACCCTGCAGGTCTCACCCAGCCTGTTTTAAGGAATATTTCATTTATTCTACTAACTCCCGAAAATTCATTTCTATCAGCCAAGTCATCACGTGCAGTCCCACATCTGTGTGAAGCAGGCCTGTTGGATAAATCCTTGGATTATGTAAGGTATTCCAGCAGTGAATTTAAAATATATGCATGAATCCTCAGTTGTTTGCAACCTAACCCCTCCCGGTGCCTGAATTATCTTCTTTCCCCACACCTAGCCATGCTCCTGAGCAGCAGGTATAGTATTACATATCACATGTTGCTTAATGAAAATCTCACAGCCTAATCTGTCCATTATCTATTTTTATTGCCTGTCTGTTCTTTTTTTTTTATATGCTTCTTTATTACTTATTTTTAGCTGATCAGAAACTAAGCTGCGGGAAATTTAAAACATGCTGTCTGCTCTGCATTGATAACTTTCGTAGTCTTCTGAACTGCCCAGAAGTCAATGCTACTCTACTACACTCAAGTGCTTTGAAATACAAGCCTTTCCATGGAGATATATTAGCCCTTAAAAGTCTTCCAGTCAAACTTCATCAAATTCCACCGAGGATGTGCAAAATCCAGTGAAGTCAATGGCTTGCAGGATCATAAACCTGCTTCTAGTTTAGATCCTCACACTGTTGGTGAAGAAACACTGAATAGTCACTGATGGAGCAAGGATTAGGATCTGCACTGTGCTGTTCAGTGACTGCAGAGTTGGTGTGAATATAATCCTAGGTAAAGTATGAACCCATCAGGAGGATTGTCTCTGTTGTCACTGAGGAAATGCTTTGTACATGCAGACAAACCTGGATGACTTCAGCAGCTGCTGAAATTCAGCTAATTTAATGCCAGTTCAGACTGGGAGTTTTTTGCTTCAGTCTTCATCAAAACCTCTCTGGGATGCACTGCTATTTTTGAAGTGCTCCAACTGCTATATCACTAATTCATCTCCACCACAGCTTCCCCCCCTCCAACCCGTTCTCTTATTTAAAGGCAGTATCAACTTTGGGATCTGCTTTTTCATGGGAACAATTATAGAGCAGTGAAACAGCATTTAAAGCAATGCATCAATTTACCAAACTTGAATTGTATGCATCTTTTAAATTGGCCCTCTTTAATTCAAAATCTAACACATTTGCACTTCTGCATAAAGTGTTGCCCCAACTCATCAAAATTAAACTGTTTATTATATTGTGAATTGCTTACTTCAGGGTAGTAATCAGTGGTAGGTATCAGATGCTGGATTAGAGCGTCCAGAGATGCTGAGGTAAGGTTTCCATCCTGGAAGATTAGGCCTCCTTGTTCATCTTCTTTTGAAGTATGTAGATGAGGGCTGAAGCCACATGGGGTAAACATACTGGTAGAACTCAGCGTTTGGGGCATGCCTTCCTACAACGGACAGAAACTCACATCAGGGACAAGATTCATCAGATTCACAGCCACATCTGTCTTCTGGTTGAATAGAAAAACACAAGCCACTAATGAGAGCTTCCTGTTCACAAAATTAACCTGATCCCTTCATTTATAACCTCTTTTATCGTTGTCATTAGCAGACCATGCCGGCGACATGAATTACACAGGAAAATGGGACATTTTGATTTATGCTTTTGGGCCAGAAAGGGACAGCAGCTGCTTTGGGCTCACACTCCAATTGAGAGCTCTGTGGTGATCCCCTTTTTGCTACCAGCCTTGGTCAGTCCCATGTAGGAGAGGCGAGATACTTGGGATTTGAATTCAGCAGGTTCCTGAGCAGAACAGAGCTGTTCGTTTGAACCTCTGTCCCGCTGAGAATGAAGCAGGGAGAATTTAGGGTGAGAGAGGGAGAGGAAAGGGGTGCGACCTAAGTCTGGCTCAGGATGGACCTTGAGAAATGCTCTGTGGCTCCCACAGGACAGGAGAGGCGTCAGAGTGAGCGAGGGGGTAGAAGCAGGAGCAGAAGTCAACTGGAGGAGGATGGAAAAAATGAAGGGAGTCGGAGGGAATGGAGAACGTGGGAGCTGAAGAAGAGATTAAAGAGCAAGGAAAAGAGAAATGAGGAAAAGGGAGAAGGCAGACACCTGCACTATTTTTGGAGCCTGAAGTTAGTCAGTCCCAGATCTATACTTAGGCACTAAATAAATGTTTCAGCAAGATCCTGAGCACTCATCGGCTTCACTAGAGATGCAGAGTCCTCAGCACCTTCCAAAAGGAGGCCAGACAAACTTGGAGCGTGTAACCCAGTTTCAAGCTCCCTGTATTTCAGTTCTCTGGGCTCTCTGGGTTGCGTTTAGGCTCCATCTCAATTTTGTGTCTTACAATCAGCTTTTAACATTTCTTCTGTTGAGCAAAGTTGTTTTGTTCCTGAGTTGGTGCAGGAGGACAACAGATTTTGCCCTGAGAGCTTTAAAGCATCTCCAGCTGCCTCCAAAATACCCCCCTAGAAGCTGCTCCACTCTCAACAAGAGGCAGTGTCATAGGATGTAGAGTAGGAAAAGGGGGACAGAGTATGCTCACCCCCAGGTCAGCAAATACATCATCCAGAGCAAGGGACCCTTCTGTGACCTGACAATTTGCTTCTAAATTTGATTTTACTTGGTGCAAGGGAGGATGGGAAAGAGATGAAGGCAGAAAAGAGTCCCAGAGCCAACCTATACTTCCTCGAGCAGCTACAAAACATCTCCCAGGACTCTAACTCTCCCTCCTGAGTATAACCTCTGTCTGCTGGAAGAGCAAGATCTGCACCCTGCGGCCCGCTGAGCTGGCACCGACCTCCCACGTAGGAAGGCACAGGGCCACATGCTGACACCGCCTGCCTGCCATTACACCTCGGCCTGCTGGTGCTCAGCCACAAGCAGTCAGCAGATATGCCTGATTTTAAAATATATTTCCCTGCCCTTTTCTGTATCCCGTTCCATCTGCTTTTCTGCCTCTTCACCATCCCATACAACTTCAAAAGCTGCCCCATGGATTTGGCTTCAAAATTTGAGTTTGCGTTTCTCCCTCACATCTATCGGTAGATGTGCTGTGACCCGGACAGTCAGCTAGCTTTAGTTCCACACACAGTATGTTCTATTTTCTCCTGCAAGAGCACCTCTCTGCCTGGCACAACCCACCTACTCCCCCAAGCTCAGGCTGCTGCAACTTGCCAACGCTGAGCAACCTTGGGCCGCCGAGGGTAGTGTGCCTGCAAGCCAGGCAGGGTGTGAAGCCCTGGGAGAGGCTGGGAGCTGAGTCCCAGCACTCGTGGGAGATCAGGCTTTACAAGCAAAACTTGGGTGACTTCATCCTTCAAAGAAGGAACCGTTCCCCGGGAGCCAGAGGTTCGGTTACTGCATCTTATCTCCTTCTGGGAAGCTTGCAGAGGCTGCCCCCAGGATTTGCAATCAAACAAAAAGGAACCAAGATGTCAAACTCAACAAATTCCTGCCTTGATTTAAAAACAAAACATACGTCAGGGATTTTAGTTTAGTTTAAAGACCAGAATATCTGAATGTCATTCCAGCCAGAATAGAAGTTGAAGTATCTAGTTTTAATGAATGTGCAGATGTGCCTGTTAATAAGGCTCCCAGAGCAAGTAATTGCTGCTTTTTGTACACAGCTCAGACTCTGCGTAGTAAATGAGAGAGACTGCCAAATCCCATTTGTTACTTCTAACACGCTCGATGTTACGTCTTGTTTCTATGGCAATAATCCCAAGAAGGACTGCATGTCCGTATAGCTCAAGAAATAAATCTGATGGGCATATAGCTGTCTAGGTGAAGAAAAGAAAAAGTTAAAGCAGCTGTGAACTTACAGGAAATATCCTGGCTTCAGCATAAAACAGAACTCAAAGTAATAATTTATTCAGTGCAATCCCTCACTGTCAACGTCATTTTTATTATCAAACAGAAACGTATCTAAACAGGATATTGCCTGAACTTTTGCATCTCATTACATGAGAAATCTTGCTGGAATACATACACTTCTTAAGAAAAAGTTACAATTAAAAAAAAAAAAAAGAATAAAACCAGCTGTACAACTGTCACTGAGACATCCATCTTGGCTATTGTTAGGAAATCAAATTTGACTTTTTATTATGAAGTTCCTGGTCTAATCTCAAGTTTTTTGGGCAAGGCCTGTGTCGTCTCTGAGCTGGTGCCTGATTGCCACCTTACTTGTCACTGAAGAAGACCTGAAGGTTTTAACTTCGTGCCTTTTTGCTCCCTGTTGACTGATACTGTTAACGTTCACAGCAGGATGAAGGCCAACTGCACAGAGATTAAAAACCTCTTGTGCTACTAAGCTTGATAATAACTAACATAAGTATTTGGCAGACAGGGATTTAGGACAGGGACTTCACTGCTCGCAACACCTCATTTCTTTTTCTGTTCATACAGTTTCCAAAATACTTTTTTCAAAAGCACTAAATAGAAATAAATCTTGCTTTGAAATAGCCCAAATATGTGAATGCCTGCAGTAGGCAGAAGATGAGGTTCTGCTGTCAATCACTTGCAGAATACAGAAACAACAAGGGAAGCACTGAGAGGAAAACAAACAAGTAAACAACCTCAAGGAGATTTTTTTTATTGTACTGATGGTGGTTTGGATGATGGAAAAGGTAGGTGGTGTAGACAGAGCCAGACCCTTCTCAGAAGAGCACAATGACAGGATGAGAGGCAACACCCCCAGGCTGCAGAAGGGAAATTCCAGTTGGGCGTAAAAGAAAATCCTCCCCTGAGCACCTTGTGAAATTGGAAGAGGAACCTGGAAGGGATGTTCAATTTCCACCCTGGAAGATTTTCAAAACTTAACTAGACAAGCACCTGAGAAACCCGATCAAACTTTGAAGTTAGCCCTGCTTCGAGCAGGAGCTTGGACTAACAACCATAAGAGGTCCCTTCTGATTAACTTTTCTGTGATTTCAACACAACTCTTTCTCCAACTGTTGCAGTATTGCCCTATTTCTGGGCTTTTTAATGTAAACCATGGCAAGTGAAAAACAAGTCCAGGTCATTAGATATTTGTAAAGAAGTCCATGTTGGGCATAAAGCCTTTTTTCTACTTTTCCTGGGAACAACAGCTCGCATGTCGTAAAAATGGCCCAAAACCTGACTTTCAAGACCACTCGGACCTAACCTGAAGTCACTGAGATTTAAGCATATGAAAATTCATCAGATAAGCGCTTCCCTGACCTTTAGTCCAATTCAACATACTATGTTTTGCCATTCCTGTCATTTCAGAAGGAAATCAGATGCCAATTTCAACCAAAATTTGCAGGATGATGCAGAGATCTCAAAAGCATCTGAGTTCCTCCACATGCCATAAAGCTGAGCAGCTAGGTAGAAGAGAAAGACCCAAATTAGTAACCTGGGCAGAGAGCAGCAATGTGAGCTGACCTGTCGCTGGATTCAAGAGGACTTGTATGGAGGTGAGAGACCTTATGAATACATCAGTTGAACAGCATCCACCAACTTTTCTAATAAGTACAGGGAAACCTAAGCATGCAAGAAAAAGACAAACTGCCAAGTTTCACAACTTCTGCTGCTTTTATGCATACTTACTATGACCTGGAAATTTCCAGCAGTAAATGTACCAGAAGGCTGGTGCCCTGACTTTAGAAAGAGATAGTGCTATGCACTGGTCCTAAAACCAGACTTAATGCTTGTGGGTTCAGAGGGAGCAGAGATGCTTTGCTAACAGCACACAGACTCTGGTGTCAGTGACAAGGGTAAAATATAATGTGTGCCTTGTAGGTCTGCTTTGATAAATGGTGCTCTGGAGGGAGCGCTGCTGGTGGAGGGATCTTAGTGAAGGGCAGACTTCCACACCCTGCCATGCAAAATGACTGATGATACAGGTGTCTGCACACATACAGCATTTAAAGTACCTCTGTGCTCTAAAGGACTGAGACCTGGAAATGAGAAAACGTCTCTGAACTGGCTTTAAAAGAGAAAAAGGAAAGAAATGCAAGGGAAGGGAGACTTGCTAGGACCACTCTCCATTACACAGGACCTCCCGTGCAGGAGAAGGCAGCACATGTAGCTCCTCCTTTGCCTATAGAAAAACAAGGTTATAAAGTGGAAAAAAGCAGCTTGGACTCTGCACTGACATCTGCACAAAAGCGGCATAAAGCATTTTGCATTTATTTTACCAAAATGTTAAGACCATTGACAGTGGCACACTGCAATTAATAATCCCAGCTCTATGCAAGTGATGAGCAAGAAGGCACATGAAAGGTCCCTCCTCACATGTTGTGGCACTCTGCAATAAGGTGTCCTGGTGATCCTCTTTTCCCAGGTACAAGGACCATGGTGTCACACTGGATCATAGTGGGCTCCTCAGTGTTCTACCCGACGTTGGGGTTGTTTGTTCAGCCAAGGATTCTCTAGGAAATGCAACAGCTCAAGCAACAGCTTGTTAAACTG